TCCCCCTATTTATCGTACATATACACGTAGACATTGAAGAGTTTATTTATTCGCATTTATTTATTGTATTCTGCCTGCAGTTTCTTTCCATTAGAGACACGCATTTCGCAGAAAACCGTGCATTTTCTTCCGGATTTTGTTCGTTTATTTTATCTTTTTTTTCTTTTCTCTTCACAAGAAGCAACCATTGCCATCGCATTGAATTAGTTTCGATTCACTACGAATATTTACGTCAAATAGAATTCAACACCCACACTGTAATTTCAAGATTCCTGAAAAAATCATATTTTCTTTCTTGCTATTCTTTTCTATATATTTTTTTAAAAATTTTTATTCCCATTATTCATTGCGATTATCTGTTATTTGTTCCTCCGCTTGTATGCATTCGTGACTAGATACTTAGTAAGTTGAACGTCAATCGGATTACCTCCCTTTCGCAGATTACCTCTTATTACTTCGGAGGTGATCAATGTGCAGACTTGGTGTGACAATTTCTATAATCATATTTCTAGGCTTGAATTGTCGTATCTCATTAGGATCTCTATGTTCTCAATTAGGAAGCTGCTTGACGACAAGACCAACATTTATCCCTAACCGTTGAATAAGTTTACGCGAGCGCATAAGTTTCGATTCTTATCGACATTCTCAATGCATCGAAGTCTTTAAGGTGGAAAGGCAAGAGTGAGAAAATTAGAGACTTGTGTAGATATTTCATATTTATTACATATCGTTATGAAGGGTATTTCTGATACAGTAAAAACACATCCATTGAAACGAACACATCGTTCCCTCCCTCTCGTTGTGCGGGGACACACACACACACACACACACACGCACACGTACGTACGTACGTACGTATATATGGATTGCGGCTTGGATTGAGGAATCGGAGAGTCGAGTTCGAATTTCAGTCGAATTCATTACATTCATTTACTTGGTAAAACCTTTGGGAGATGTATGACTTCATCTCTTCTCCCCCCAGCTATGGGTAAATAACAGAACAGACTGGGTTGTATAGCCTTGGGTGGCAACTCGCGTAGGAGAAAGACAACTCTGAATTCAAAACCTGCGGAAAGTTGTTTGGGGACCTTGTAGCACATTGTTCACCCAGTTCTTTGTGTTAGTCTCTTCCAAAAAGTGCAGTTGGTTCTGAACAAGCCTTCGCCAAATGATTTGTGGGATATATATATATATATATATATATCTGGTGCGATGGATAAATTGTCATCTAAATGACACAAAAATGAAAATAACACTGACATCTCATTTTAACAGATATATTTACCAAACTTACATAAAAAATATCTTGAAATACTAAAGATTAAATGTATTCAATAAAATCACTATTGTTTTCAACCACAGCCTCCAGACAACTTCGGAATCTGCTGCAACTCTTCTGGACACTCTTCTTGTTTAAGTTGGTGAACGTTGCCATAATCCTTGCCTTGAGTTCTTCTTTGGTGTTTACAAGGAGTTTTGTTTGTTTCTCGCTCAATTGCGACTCATAAATAATAATCAATGCGATTGCAGTCAGTGGCCATATGTAAGGGGTGATGTGACAGCCATCACTGAGTTCTCCTGCTTGTGTGGCATGGTGCAGAGTCATGTTGCCAGTCATAGGGTCTTCCAGCAACCACACTTGACTCACGGTAGCATTACCTCCTCAAATCACTTCATGTAAGCCTTCGTGGCTCTGTGGGAAGATAAATGGAGACGTAACGTCGCCATCGCTATTGGTCATTCCAGACACCATGGTGTTTACTGGATATATCATCTAACTCTTTCCGAAACCTCTGCACTGTCCTCAGATTAGAACCCAAACACTCTGAAATGTTTGTATTGGAGCTTTCAGTGTGAATGCCAAGTAGTACAACATACCGTTTCTAAATTTCTGGCGGAGTGAATTAGGTCATGGTGTTCTTTTTCCCACAGACGGTGCCCAACTGACCCTACTATAGTGCGCAGTCGATAAAATAATAATAAAAAAGCAACGCGCATGTCCAAAATGAAAAATAAAAAATGGCGGAAATTTACCCATTGCACCTCTCTCTCTCTCTCTCTGTCTGCCTCTCTCTCTCTCTCTCTATATATATATATATATATATATATATATATATATATGATAATGAAAAACATAAAACCATATATGTCTCCATACACCCGTCAAATCTCTCCCCTAGGTAATTCGTTGAAGTACTAAAATTACTGCTAGTATAGAGTTCGATGATAAAGCTCATCAAAGCTTACATAAAATTACCTGAGTATGATTAAATAAACTGATATTTTTATAAAGAACTTCCCTTGATACTTCTGGGAATATCATCTTTCAACAATTAATTTTACTAGACAAGAGAAGTGTCGTTCTTTCTGACCGTCGTGTCATTGTGGCCAAACTTCCAAGAGATGTTCAGGATCAAATAAATTTTCATGGTCTAGCAATATTTTATCGTTGAATAATGGTGAGAATCACTTCGAATTTACTCGTAGAACGGCTCTCTTTGTGAATTTGGGACCTTTGCTCAGTGTCGAGTTGGGCATCGAGTGCCGATAACCTCAGAAACATTTGTTTACCTAGCAATTTGTCCTAGATTAACCAGGATACAAAGGTGGGGTTTCAAAGCCGGCTTAAAAGATTTGGCTGACTCTGATTACCATGGTGATGTTTGCTATCGTTTTTCCGTCTGCCTAGTGCCACTTGTTTTGCGAATTTCCTTGTCGGCTAGCATCGCTCACGATAATTCCCTGGATAGCGCGTAAGAAACATCACAAGACTCTCGCTACCCTATCGCTATTTCCATGAAAAGTGTTCAGCCGAACGACATTCCTTAGTTCCACCAGATCTAATCTTCACGGCTAGGACCCGCCATTCCCCAACACATTATAGCAAATCACCCTCATTCCATCGGTAATCTTTTACTCGGTTTCACCTCAAGTCAGTAAAGTTCTAGTCAAGCAGCTTGTTCCCACGAACCGGTGTTTTGTGGAACCGACTCCCAAGAGGATGCTTCCTCGATCCCAACAATCTTAACCTGTTCAAGTCTAGTGCCAACCGTTATTTTCGCCACATATCCACTTAAACTGTGCTTCTTACTCTGTAAACTTCTGCCTCTTTACATCATTGTAAAACAAAAAACAGAAAAAAGAAGAAAAATGCGTATGACAAGGGTTTCTTGACGCTAGGGTGACATGAAGTGCAATATTAAGTGAAGAGAATTCAATCTGTTCTTTTTGTCACGACGAGATAATAGATTATTTTCAATCCCAGCCTTTTTTTTTTTTATTATACTCTATCTTGAGGTTTTCCTTTTTCATTATTACTCAGCTGTATGTAAGTAATTGAAAATTTCATATATGATATATATAAATATTGTAGGCTCATAGCTCATATAGGATTATGTTGCCTGAGAAAGAATGGAAACGTAGGATGAGTTATAATTATCTCATGTTAAAAAAAAAGAAAAGAAAGAACAATGGTGCATGTGTGGGTCGTGAAAGAAACTAGCCAAGGGCAAAACATAATATAACCAACATTTACGCTTTTCAATTCTTAAGATCTTATGTAGTAAATATATAAATGTACTTGAATAAATGATCGATTGAGACCAGAAAAGACTTTTTAATATTAACGCCTCCAAAAACGAAACTGTTCTCTTTTAATCATCGTAGAGAACGTTGCCTCCCATCAGTATGGCTGATGCTAACTCCTAGGAAAACAAACTCATTTCGTCTTCTCGGTCTTATATTTTCCACTTCCATGAAATGGAACGGTTCTAATAAATCAATCGCTTGGTCTGCTGCTAGGAAAGTCGGTTCACTGTGTCGTGCGAGATAATTATTCTAGCCAGAATATATCTTGCAGTGACGTAATCCCATCCTTTACCAGATTAAAATACAGCTGAGGTCTTTCAGCTTAAGGCACGCTTTGGTGAATTATAAGTAATTAAAATTCAAAATTAAACAGAATCCCCTTATTATTGAATAGCAATCGTTTTGGTGAGAGAGGTGTTTGATTTGTACTTAAATTAGTAACTGATCTCGGAAATAACATTAAATTTATTGATAAATGGAGCAAGAATTGGTTTGTTAATTTTAATGCTTCCAAAACGAAACTTCTCTCTATTAAACATCTTAAAGAACTTCCTTTCCTTCCATCAACATGGCTGATGCTAACCTTTAGGAGAGCAACTCACTGCTCCTTGTCGGTCTCATGTTTTCTATTGACATGAAATGGAATGATTATATCGAATCATTTACTGCTAGAAAATTCGTTTCATTATGCCGTCCTAGATTTTCTAGTTTTACAGCAAGAATATATCTTACAATTTATAAATCTACTATCTGTCTGTGATCGAATGTTGCTGCCATATATGGTCTGGTGCGTTTGCTATATATCTAGAGAATCTTGACAAAATTCAAAGAAGAATCTGCAAAGTTATCTGTCTTGACATGGCATCTCGGTCTTAGTTTTCTACAACCGTAACTTAGCTTCACAGTTCTTTTCTATAAATATTTTCACTATAATTGTTCTAATGGACTTTCCTCTTTTGGTGCCGTAACTTCAACCGCAGTACTAGATTGTCAGTTAGGTCTCATAAGTTAATTGTTGAAATTGCTTGTTGTAGCCGTACATTTTATGCTAATAGTTTATTCTCCCGTAAACTCTCTTCCGGCTTCTTGCTTTCCTGTCAATTGCGATCTTTAAAAAATTTAAATGCAACGTTTTTGTCATCTTCTGTCTTTTTGAATGCTGTTCTTTTATTGTCCTATCTGTTCATTTCACTTTCGGTAACCATTTCCATCACCTTATTTGGGATGAAATCATTTAAAAAAGAAGCTACCTAATTATACCTTTTGGTGAAAATATTGACTGATTTCTTGAATATAATAAACTTAAAAATACATTGATGGAATATAAATTTGTAATACACTCTGATTTTGAGTTGGGTACAATATACTCGTGCATAGGATGTATTCGGATAAACTTTGCAAAGTCTCAGGCTATGATGTGAGTTATTAACATTGATAACAATATACAGTCTTTGTTTGAGATTCGGTTATCTGTTAACATATTTGTGGGGAAAAGGTTCAATGCAAACAAGTGCTATGCCATGGAAACGCACACGGACATCTTTTGCCAAATTAGAGTTGTTTGATGGGTGTCGATTTAATGAACTTCAAAAGACTGGATGCTTATTTTGAGGAATTGCTATGCATGTTGGAAATGACACAACATTGATGTTATAATGTTGGCAACATTACTCAACTGAATATTGCCACACGTCTACAGGCCTATATTAACGCCCAAGTAAGATCTACAGTTTAATAATAATATTGGATGTATAGGCTTTATTTTTAAACTTCTCCGTGTACGAAGGTCGGCTGAAAAGTTCATAGGCTGACCAGAATACTCTCTTGGAATGTGACCAAATGATGTTATTTTTAAATATAGTTCCCCTTGCAGTCCACCGAATTTTTCCTTCGCTTTTGCAGTAGTTGGCTCTCATTGGTGAAAAAGCTTTTATCCTGTTGGTAAAAAAAAAGCCAACAATAGCAGATATGACGTCATCACCATTGCGATACTGGTTCCTAATCAAGTGTTTTTGTGTGTGTTGGAGGACAGATGATAATCATATGGGGCAAAATAATAGGGGGTTTGATCAACCAGTTCAAAGCCACTGTTATACATAGCAGCTATTGAAACCAAGGGCTTGTATACTGGAGCATTGTCCCGATGAATCAAAACACCTTCCGTCATAGCTCCTGGGATTTTTGTTCTTGATATAACAGCATGAAAAAGTTGATATAATACTCTGCGTTGATAATGTGACCCTTTTTCAATAAACACTATGCTTTTACATTTCAAACATCCGAGGCCATCACCTTACCTGCAGATGAAGCAACATGAGCTTTCGTTGGAGCAAGTAGGGAAGACTGTTTCCATTGCATGGATTGTCTCTTTGTCTCTGGTTCAAAGTGATGAAAACCAACACTGATCCTGTGTTAGGAAACGTTTAAGGAAACCAGTTTAGATCTAATTCTTACAATGTCAGATTTTCCTGTGATGTGATCAGCCTGGTGCACTTTTGATCAGATGTCAGAAGACGTGACACTCACCAAGCCGACACCTCCGTCATGCCAAGTTCATTGTTCAGAATAGTCTCAACTCTTTCACGGGATATACTAATAACTTTGGCTATTTGATTTATAGTCAATCGCCTCTCATCCATCACCATGTGTTGATCAGATATCAGACAGAAAATGTGGGACCCACCGAGAAGAAACTTCGTCATGCCAAGTTCATTTTAGCTACTTGATTAATAGTTAATCGCCTGTCATCCATCAACATGTGGTGAACACGATCATGATTTGGGCTCAGACGAAATACGGTTTTTATTGATGTAATTATATATGTGTGGGTGTGGGAAGGGATGGTGTAAAGTCGGACCTCGTTTTATACCGAGGGGAATTGATAAAGATCTGGGGATGCTGAATTAAAAAAAAAAACTTTTAGTTTTTAGTTTAACATTTTTTATCACACGTATCTGGACGCATATTCTAGCCGATTTCATTCATTTTCCTTACACTTTTACTTTTGTTTTATCGTTTTTGCATTTGTTTTTAAGTATCTCACATTGTTAAAAGAAGATCTGCCACAAAATGTGAAATATTGTAGGAACCTGGATGCAAATTTACAGTGGATTTTCCAGATATTTTTCCCTTAGCAAATTATTTTCGTTTCTAATTAAAGAAACATTTTTAAATCAAAATTATAGCCACACTCATTACGGTGAGCAACTAATGCACTGGGTGTTTTGTTTTATAAATATCATTTTTGTGTATATATCTTTCATTTAAATTCCTTGCTGTCTCTCCTATATATTCTTGGTGGCAGTCATTACAGTTATAGAGTAAATTCCTCCTTCAAGTTTTAGATTGTTATTATTTTATTTTGTATTAATTCTCTTTTTTTTTTTAAAAGTAGTTGTAGCAAATTTTGTGTTAAGCTTAGATAAATTCTTGTCAATTTAATTTATGATGGAGTTCATATGTAGAATAATATATCTCGATTTATTGGATTTGCTTGAATGGTTCATTTTTTTATTATGAAATATTTGATGAGCTTTCTGTTTCGCATTGAATATGAAATAATTTAAAGGGATGCTTGAAAGTATTTTCAGTGTATTTCTCCTCATCACATAAATTTTGAGGGTTACAAATTCGTTAATAGAATTACAGAATGATCTGTATATAATTTTAGGTTAAAAATAATTACTGATAAAATTATTGAAACATTCTAGAATATTCCACTTGAATAATCTAAAGTATTAAAGCAATTTAAATGTTTTAAAATCTGAAATTAGCCTTGTACGAATACTTTTTCCCCCATTAAAATTGATAAATAGAATTTATTTCTATTAAATCATTTTTTTTTGTTTTCTATGCATATTTAGTTATTATGCATCTGTGTACAGTTAATTATATGAAAAGTATGTTTTGTTTAGTCATTAATTGGAAATACAATAAATCAAACGCTTTATGTGTACGTATTTGTTTTTCCACACATATATATATATATATATATATATATATATATATATATATATATATATATATATATATAATTATATGTATATATATATATGTGTGTGTGTATATATATATATATATACATATATATATATATCAGTCTGTTCATATCTATCTCTCAGTCTATTCATATCTATCTGTTCGTATATATTTATCAGTCTATTAATTATCTCATTCTATCTCAGTCTAATCTATCTATCTATGTCAGTCTATTCACATCTATCTCAATCTATCTATCTATCTATCTATCTATCTATGTCAGTCTATTCACATCTATCTATCTATCTATCTATCTATCTATCTATCTATCTATCTATCTATCTATCGTGGTCAATACATACATATTATTCTCTAGAAATACACTGATCGAACGATCTTTTTCTGTTTCTGCCGAAACATAATATTTTTTTTGTTGTTATTATTATTATTATTAATATTATTATTATTATTATTATTATTATTATTAGCTAATGTGTAAACTTTTGAGCCTATTGATTACTTTCATCACTTGATGAATATATGGGAATCGCTGTCTTGAAGACGGAATGACATTGATCGAAAGACTGCGTGGAACGAATCAACTGCCATTTATTAACTCGAAAAGAGATAGATTATCTATTCTTTAATTTAATACAACCAACTTCAAAGCGAATTTACCTTCACTCGTTGGCACCAGCGTCTTTCGTTATCCATTAATATTTTATTCTCGGCAAGGTTACCTGTCAAGATCAGGATAGAAAAAAAAAAATAAAAGGCGTTTAGTTTACAGAATTTTACTCCTTATCTCGAGAGTAAAAGGCGCCCTTTACTTTGCTGTTAACTTGTGTGATTGATCATAAGAAATGTATGGAAGACAATTTCAGTAGTAATTTAAAAGGTGATTTTTAGATTTTTCTTCTATGCTATGGTTAACACGTGCTTATTAGCTTCGGATATTGTGTTCCGTGACAATGCGGAAATTGGAGATAAAATCGAATTTCCGATTTCTTTTGAAAATATAAGGTCTGTTCAGAAATTATTCAGCCATTTATTATTGACGCGGAAAAAACCTACCTAGGACAAGGATTCTTTAGTACTCAGTTGGGAGACTCGTGACAGCTACAGATTGCACTTGCTCACTCAATACGCCTTAATACCGACCACGCAGATATTTTTTCACGCATTAGAAGCCATTTCCTTTCTGCTGGGTTGCATCAAGGCCGCGAAAAGTGTTCTCGCTTGACAGACCCTGTACACATGTGAGTCCATATAAACATCTAACGGTAGATTCTGGTGAGAGTCCGCTGGTGGGATGACTGTAAAATAAACACAAATATTTCTCATCATTTTTAGATTATGTAAAATAAAACATTTGTTTATTTGATTTCTTTTTTCTTTGTTTTTACGGCTTATCAACCTTTTATAGGTTATTTAAAATCAGAAAATATTTTTAGATTTTTGGAGAGTTGATTAAATGATACAAGTCTTACTAATTAAACAATATCTCTGGGGAGAAGACCTGGATTCCCAGAGCTATACGCATGGAAGTGAATACAACAAATAATTCCGAGTTGTTATTTATTACACCAACCGCACATCCAAGCTTACAGAACGCGCTATTCTCACGCGGTTACCCATATAGGTACTGACTAATTTCAACGTTGCTTAACTTCGGTGATCGTACGAGAACCAATGTTTCAACGTGCTATGGCCGTAAGCCTCATTTGTTTGGAATACTGTTTTTATCCGTTCTTCAGATAAAGACATACTTTTTATAATTACATCTGGTGTTTCATCTAAAAATAATCAGAAACTGAATCTATTGAAAGAAATTCCATAAAGAATTGGAAGTTTGCGATGGAAGTTTTTCAATAAATACATATATATATATATATATATATATATATATATATATATATATATATATATATATATATATATATATATATATAAATTTAAAAGAAAACAGACCTTTTAGGGTACCATTATAATAATTTATTTCACCAGAGTCCTTTTAAAGAACCACCGGATCATCAGATAGCACTTTCAAAAATGAAATGAAACGAAAAATGAAATTAAAATTGATGGGTAGTGTAAGTTTTTGTCATTTAACAGAGGGTGTAAAAGGGATAGTTAAAGAGACATGCTAGAGTATAGGGAGGGATTAATTTCATATCTCTCTCAAGTATACTTTATATTGACCTATTTAGATGGTTAACTTAACGGAAGTGATATATAGAAATTTCATCCTCTTTGGGATTATCCATACTGATTACCAAGTTCTTCATAACCTATATATATATATATATATATATATATATATATATATATATATATATTGTCATCCACTGACAGACAGTTTCGCTGTATCACATCTCATCATTGTGGCTAGATATCCGATTGACCCAAGCTAGGATCGAAACCCAACTGATTTGGCATCAGTCGGAGATTTTCCCCCTAAGAACAGAGAGGTAAGTGAATTTTTACGTATATATTTTTGAATAAACACGCCAGTGACTCAGAGTGCTCGATTCATAGAAGAGTTTTGCATTAGCAGCAGTCACTGCTTAAAAATTCATGATTTCCCTCTAAAGTGCTCGACCGAATTTTATTACTAAGATATCAGACGATCTGTTTTATTCAGTAGGTAGTTAGGAAGTCGTATTTTGTTCCTTTTAATAAAACCAAGTTGTCAGTATCTAACATCATAGTTTTCTTCTACGTGCCGCATTTGTTCAGGACATGGGCGGTCATGGCTCTCCAAAACTTCCTATTAGCAGTTTTCTCCCTTTGTTAAAGCTCTCGTCCCACCCCTGTTCCGCAATTCATTCACCCTAACTCGTCATGTAGGTGCCTTGCTACCTTCCTCTGTCTCTCTTGCCCTCAATATGTCCTGTGAGAAATTTTCCAAGCTACCCTTCCTCATTATGTGCTCAAGTAATTTCAATTGTCTCTTCACGGTTTCTATGCATAAATGTTTTTGCTCGCATTTTCTTTAAGACTTATTCATTGCTTATTCATTCCGACCATGAATTTCTCAATATCCTTCTGTAGAACCATATTTCTGTTTAACTCCAGTTTCCTCCTCATCCATTGTAAGATTGTCCACCTTTCACTGCCATATAAAAGGATGGATATCACATAGTAATTCAACATCCAATGCTAAGCCTCCATGTTCTTTCTCGTGAAGCGTTGGTATAGAATTCTTTTTATCAAATATAAATAAAAATATTTTCAAAATATATTTTAAAATATAAATTAAAATATTATCTTCGATTTTGTTAGGATAAACCTTTTTATTATTCGTATTTGTTACATCTTAATTTTAATTCTTTTTCAACACAATCATTCAGTCCCCTGAGTACAGTCATCAGTAAAAAAAAAAAAAAAATCAGTCAGTTCTGTGCCATACGTGATACACACTTTGGCGATCATGTGTCTTTCGATATATGATTGACGAGGCAGATTTTTTTTTCCCGCAGTAGGTTGCCATTTCTTTCTGCGGTAGTCCAGTTGCCATCCAAGGCTATAGAACCGAGTCTGTCCTGCAGGGGGAGAAGAAGAGAAAGAACGGTATTAGCACGTATGTCAATGTAATGTTTTCACACTGGAATTCAAATTCGTCTCTCCGAGCCGCTATCCACTGCTCCACCGTGTCTCGCTAAAAAAAAAGGACTACTAAAAAAATTACTAATATCATTTTGAATTTTTCTTCGATGAATCGTTTTTAATCACAACCTTTCAGATCATCATTCTACGCCATTTAGTAAATAAGTAATTATATTTATTAATACTATTGTGGCCTGTATTTATTTAGTCTTAATTTTACTCGCTTTTAATCACTGTCAGTACGTCACAAAGTATTTTTGGAATATTAAAATAATCCAAAATATTAAATAAAGGGTGTTTCATTAAGACGGACTATATATAAGGGTGTTTCATTAAGACGGATCAAAATCAGCAGTAAATAAATCAGTGTTATTGGTGAAAATTTATTTATTTCTCTATTGGATTATGTTATTTAATTCATGGCGATTATGTATGAAAAATAATATCGCCCAAATATCCGCCATATCTGAAAGAAAAAGGAAAAATCATTAGACGCTTAAACTTAATTCACATTTAAAATCAGTTCAAGTTATTGGAACAGCCTTTATAATCTAGTATAGACTGGTAGTAAACCGCCTTCATACGGATAGAGAATGAATTCAGTAAATATACGAGAATTGAAATGGGTGCATGACAAGGATATCTCTTCCCACCGGACTTTGAATTAGATTCATTACTGGCAACCACAGTCTTAACAACTTCAGATATATAGATGACACAGCAGACAGAAAAGAAGATCGTTGTTGTTATCAAAATATTTCTCGTTCCACTGCCCATGTCTAGACGATATCCCTTGTGCAGTAGAACGAGAACAGTCTATCCCCGTAGATTAAATAAAGGGTTCCGTTCAGAATTCCCTGTAGGTTACCCAGACCAATATACATCTGAGGAAGGACGGGGGACACAACGGTCGAAACGTTGTGATAACAGCAACAAAGATAAGGACAATAGTCCAAATATTAATAGTGCTGTTGGCAAAAGAAACAGCTCAACATGCAAATTAAAAAATTAGAGATACCAAAAATCAAAAAAATAAAACCATTTAAATATCTTTCCAGCGGGTTTGGCATATTTTTATGTAGTTGTAATTGCAAGAAGGCTGAATGACTGGTCTTTAGCAAAAGGGACAGCCCTAAATGCAAATTACACATTGGGGATACCAAAATCAAACAAATACAATTTAAATATCTGTGAAGTGTTATAACAGAGATCGGAAAGTGCGACACTGAAGTCTGAAGGCGCAGTTGGATAGCGAAAGGTACCTTCCGCAAACTAAGCAAAGTATTAAGGAAAAGGAAAATTTCCTTAGAAACAAAGAAAATAATACTGTGCTGTTACGCAATATCAGTCCTCCTATATAGCAGTGAATGCTAAACAATCCTCTCGCAGACGCAGAAGAAAACTGAAGCAAAAGAAATCTGATTCTACAGAAGGATGCTGAGAATGCCATGGACCAAACATATGAGCAACGACAAGGGGAAATGGAAACAAAACTGATACTTATGCTTAACATCAGAAAGAGGTAGCTGAAATTTCTGGGGCTCGTAATGAGGAAAGAATGTTTGGAAATTTGATACTCACAGGACAGTTTGAAGGCAAGAGGGACAGAGAAAAAAACAAAGTTTAACCTACCAAGCGAACTTGAGTAAATGGATAATGGAACAGGGTCTAGGAGAGATAACAAAAAGATAACATTTATTAGGAGATACAAAAGATAGGAAACGGTGGAGAGCCATGATCGCCAACATCATGAAGGGACACGGCATACGGAAGAATAATATTATCTCATATTTTCGTTAGATGACACGTGAACAACCATTATTGATTTTTTTTTTTTTACTGGCATTTCTATTAACTTAATTTTAGTTTTGTTTTTATCACATCCAAGCAGACGATCTGCCTACAGCTGTTAAGAAACTGCAAACAAAGTTACATTTAAATTTTCATTCGGCAGTAATAGTCGTAATTGTTGTCTGGATATTTAGACGAACTATTTTCACTATTGAACTGATTAATTTATTTTTCATTTCATTGCTTTTTATCAAAATACTCCTTCTACATTAAGCAAGCAAGGTTGGTCCAGGAAAATCGTCTGCTTTTATTACTGCTCGCTAGATATTCGTAGAATATAAATCGACCTCAGGATTGCGATCAAAAGTAATAATAATTTGACATATTATTATTATTAATTTACTTTTACTAAAACCCAAAACGTCTTTAATATTTGCATTGCTTGGACTATTATCCTCATCTTTGTTGCCATATTTATCATATTTATCATATTTATCGCTCTTCTTCTGGTGGTTGGAATGTCGAACAGAACCCTTTATTTCGCTCGCTGGGATAGTTCCCCGTGCCATGTCTAATGGATGTCAGTTATCAGTTATCTCCTGTTAATTCCTCTCTCCAAGTTCTCTTACCGCCTTACCAGGTATTGAACTCGCACTCTTTGGGTCCTGTCATTGGATCTAACTAATGTCTTTATCCACTGTGCCATGTGTCCTTGAGTTACAACTTCGTGTGTATGTGTCAGTAGTATATAAACAGGTAGGCAAACGTTCAGTAATGTACAGAGTGCGATGGGTAAATTGTCGCCAATTCATGTTTTCAATTTCGCGCATGCGCGTTCTTTGTCTTTGATTTTGTCGACTTCATAAGTATAGAAGGGTCAGTCTGTGAGAAAAAGAACACCATGACGCAAGAAATTTGGAAACGGCATGCTGTAGTGCTAAGCATTCGCGCTGGGAGCTCCAATACGAATATTTCAGAGTGATTGGGTTTCAATCTGATGACAGTCCAGAGAATTCGGAAAGAGTCTAATGGTGATTACGAAGTCACGGCAGCTCGGATAACTCATTCTGATCGTTGTGTTAGGAAAAGAACTCCCGAAGAATTTGTTGTTGAGGGTCTCAGATTCAACACGGAGGCCTACATCAAGTGCCTTGTGCAGGTAGTGCTGCCCTGGGTCAAGAAGGTGGCTGATAGAAGATCTTATGTCGGGCAACAGGACTTTGCATCATGCCACACAAGCAGGAGAACATACTTATGGCTGACAGAAAATTTCTCTGACAACATTACCCCTTACATCTGGTCACCTAACTCCCAAGA